GTTGATCTTTCTCCAATCTCCAATCCTCTTCCTCCAATCTTCAATGATGGATTTGTTTTTCCCTATGAATTGTTTCTCTCTCACACGTCTCTCGTCTTTCCATAAAGCCCTTGATGTTGAGAACTTTATTTCGTATAAGACTGGAGAGAGGGATATGTAGTATATATAGGAGGAGGAGACTTAGAATCCTAATCATACTACCATTCCCCATGTTCAAGGTAACTTAATGTCCAAGTTAAACATCACACATTGGACTCTTTAATATTAGAACATTAAATAATCTATTAAATACATATTCATCTTTAATAAAGTTTGACTATTAATTCAATTAGGTCCAACTAATTATATGGTCCACAATAATAGAATAATATATAAAATATTATTACATGGTGGTGTTGAAGACCTTATCTTGCTTCTACAATTATTGATTCGACCAACCCCTACAACTCACATGATTAAGATGTTTAACCTAAATAATATTATCTGTATCATACTTTTTTTCATCCACATCTACATGTATATATTGAAAGAGGTTATGTCTAATTCAAAAGTAAAAAAAAATAATTTTTTAATTTATTAAAATAGTTTGATTTAAGTATAAAGGAAATTCAAAATAAAAATTCTGATCATTTTGCATAAATTTTTGTTTTCAAAATTGTATGCCGACAATATTGTACACTTTTTTGGAATAATTTTACCTGCCCTATTTTATTATTGAAAGCATTTACTTATCAACATATCTGTGATAGGTCGAAAAATATGTGCGTTTTTTATATTTAATAGTGTATTTTTATAATTTATTCGCATGTTTATATTTTTTGACTTTATATTATTTGGATGGATTCATTTGTTTTGATTAGTTTATATTTATTTTCATTGCACTGGAGTAATTTTAGGACGTGGAGCATTTGATAAAAGTCACGCGATCAATTATCGGAGTTAGTTAAGGACACATGAATTAGACCCACTTTTATTATTTAATGGGCTGGTCGTCGGACATATTTTCGCTCGCCTGGTTTTAGAGATTTTACGATTTTTTTGAAAAAAAAAATGTCAGGAACAAAACGATTTCAATGAGTGGCACGTAGTAATAGGGGCAGTGATTAATTTGTTGGAGAGAGAGTTAGACTTGGAGACAGAAGACGGTTACAGCTTCATGATATATACAATTTTAGAAATTCTCCCAATTTTTAGTTTGTAATCATCTTTATAGTCATGTAGCCCAAATTTCTGCTTGGCCCAATCCACTAATCCCCTCGAAAAAAAAAAAAA